ATCTTTAGCAACAACGAAAATCTATATTTGACCTGCATGCGATCTAAAAATAGATGGTATTTTGAAAGGCGTTCATCAGGGAGCGTTCATTTAAACGGCCGATCTTGCCTTAGGGGGACAAGACTGCATACTTTGTTAATAAGCAGTGCCTCAGGGAAGATCGGATTGAGAGATCTCCTGCAATGCTTTAATTATTGAGAAAATGACGTTTAACGAGTGATATCTTATTAGAAGGCCATCATCCGCAACCTATGAAACTGCGGAATAATTCCAGACGACAACTGGAGACAACTGAATATTAAAACAGTTATTATTAAAACTGTTGCGACATCAAAGAAGAATTGAGCAGGCAAACAGATTACCTACATTATCAGTCCCATATCTCTTTTGCCCTACCATAACTTATAGGTATGGGGTTTGGTTTAGTAGTGCTGACAGGATTTTTACCTACTGAAGATGGTATAACTCTTCTTTAACAATTATCATACATTTTCTCATTGGATCTACTTTCACCCTTAGTTATATCAGACTTAAAAGCAATGGCTTACAGTTTACTTCCTTCAGGTTTTATAAAGTATCTTTTCATATAGGGTTGGGTTTAAGATTCATCACACCAAAAGGATAGGACCAATGTGACAAACATATACTAGCGTATGGGTGTCTCAATCTAGGGTACTACATACAGGGACTGGTCCTTCATCTCATTGGACTGTTTTCCTGAACTCATAAGGGAACAAATAACTATTGGGACCAAGTCCAAAGAGACATTAGGACCATTGCGATGCATGTACATGTACCCAAGGATAGGGGCATGTATGGTACTACGTCTCACCTGACCTCACACTGAACCCGTAATGGATCAGACGACTACACTGAGACTCAGTCCAATGGGACCTAGGACCAATGTGACGTAGTTGTATCAGGATCATGCAAGGTATCTCTATGATCTTGTGTGACACTGGGTATAGCCATAGGGTCTAATTCCTTCCTGCCCCGATTCCTACCTGACCATACTGCACATGGCACTTTTGAAGTAAATTGGGACATAAGGACCAATAGTAATTCAGGAGTAAAGAAAACCATTCCAAAATTGAATATTTTCTTCCTTTCAGATTTTAAAGCAAGTCCACCCTGATATCAAGTTGGTTTTAATAGCAGTACAAAAATGAGAGGTACTTTCACTGACCTGTTCCTCTCATTTTTCTGCTTCTATCAAAATTAAATTCATATCAGGGTGGACTAACTGGACTTCCCCTTTAAAGGTAAAGACCAGTTATGGTCATGCGATTGCATTGTGAAAGAAACGTTGTGGAATTGATCAGAAAAGGTTGATCATCTAGCATCTAGCATCTGCAAGGTTCTGGAATGATCAAAATGATAAGAAATTTGGCCCATTCTTCGTAAAGTTACAAGCACTGTACACAGAAAGATGTATATGGGACTACCCTATATCTCTCACAGACCATGAGAGAAACTTATTTACCAAATATATGAATTAGTAGGCGGTTTCCCGGCAAATTTTTTATCATCATGTATTAGTCAAAACATATTCTTTCACATGATTGGTAATGAGAGCTTCCATTTCATTTTTTGAAATTGGGGCGTTTCCAATACTGGTCTTTACCTTTAACAACTTGAACCTCAGCCTGAGGGCAATCTCAATAATACATGTATATCATCTGCTTAGAGCCAAAAGGATGTATGTAATAAGGTAGCATTTTACAAAGAGTTCACACCCTTAAGAATCTCTCTGCAGCCGATAACGAAGAGGAAAAAAGGTTTGTGACTCTAAAACAAACTTTGAACCACTGACGAAACCCGGTCACTGGAATCATCCAAAAGTAAAACTACCATACATGTGTTGCGCACATGTTCCAGTCGTATGTTTCCGCCTTTCCAGATAACAATACAAAAAGGGTGACTCACTGTGATGGATAGGTCCTGCAGCAAAGTTCAACATAAACAGTCGACGGGTTCAGCAAATGTGTAAAATATTGTTTCCCCTATGTTTTGACATTAAGTCACATTTTGTCATGTGCAACAACTGTAAATTTCATGATATATAGCCGTCAACCACTTCACTACACCAAATCATATCGAGTTCAGAGTTGTCACCCCTTTAGGAATATTGATGATGGGACAATCGCAGACGACTTCCGGATGCAGAGACAGCAAAGACAGCATGGAGGAATATGTTCTGCATGGAATTCTTCTTGTACTGTCTTGAAAAATTGATATTTTTAAACTTACATCTGTTTTTTTCACTACGATATTTGACAGCAAAATCAGTATTAGGACACCTGTAGACACAATGCATGTATTTTTTACTTTAATTTGGAATCTGCAACTTCCCAGAGGCCAACTTGGCGGAGTATGAGATGGGGGTCTATGACCTTTTTAAAAAATGAGGTCAATCGCAAAGTTCAAAAGCATTATTTTAGAGTATAAACAGAGAGTAAAATCAGAATCTATAGGCTTTTAAACATAAAATGGTTAAATGCCATCTAAAAATCAGATATTTTTTTGACAAACTCTATTTTGTTTCATGAGGTAGTTCTGAATCTGGTACATCTTTCTAATATTTTGTTTTTACTGAAATATCCTCAGGAATATTTTTTTGCAAGGAGAGATGGGTCAAGCATAAATCCTATTGTTTGAGTCTCAATCAATGCACACCTTTTCTCCTGGTACTTGGCCAGGGAAGTAGGTCAAAATAGCTGGCATACATCTTATGATTAACTGTGTCAATTTTTCATCTTGTAATCTGAAGTAATGGCATCAGTTATGAGGTCAAATTGTCCGTTTTGAATTGATTTACGGTCAGCAAAGTCCCACCTGTTGACCAATGGTCAGTTTTTCTTTTATGAAGACAGGAAATATAGAAGTGTGGTTTATTTCTGCAGTTGTTTTGCTATCTTCTATGAAGCTGAAGAGGTTTCAAAATTCTAATAAGGGATAAGTAAAACAAAAAATATGAAATAATGACAGGCTTTATTTTTTTAATGGTAAGACCTATTCAAAGATAGTATAGAACCTGCTTTAGAAATTGGTTGCAGGGGCGATGGTATAAAAGTAACCAAGCACCTTTTACATACATGTACATGTAGCAAGATTACCTCCCCAAAAATTAAATGCACAGATTGAAATCTGGCTAGTAAAAAACCCATTTCTCCAAATTGAAAAATTTTCAATGTTTTTATTCTTCAATATGGACATTCGAATCACTCTTATTTTTGTTACTAAAAACTCTCCAAGTAAGACAAATGATGAGGTATTTCTCCAAACTAATAATGTTATATATTTAAGAATTCAAACATTTTTTTCTAGGTTAGTTTGCCTTTGGCTGTTATTTGTTCAATAATTTGGTTGGCAACTTTTGTCTATATGAATAGATGGTGAAATTTGTTAAAAAGCCCTCAGTCAGTAAAATCTTGTAAAATATGAAGAACCAGACAATTAATCTCCCTATGATGACATATATTGATCTATTGAATTGAATTTATTGTCCCTTTCAGGAAATTCTTTGACGTTAAATATTCTGTATTCTTATATGATAAATACCAAAGGCTTCAAGATTTTGTTAACTGTTTCCAGTGCTGGATACAGTGTGTAAATCTATAATCATGCTTTAAGGGTTATCATGGAGCTAATTAAGACTGGAAATTGGTCATTTTAATAATAATGATACAGTAATAATAGTGGGTTCTTGTATAGCGCTCATGTCTGCAAAGCCATTTGCAAAGCCATTGTGTTGCAAAATGCAATCCTCCCATCAATTGGTGTCATTTGTGCAAAATTGCACGTGTGACAAACCTCGAACGACTATGCAGAGTGGCAAAAGCAACCAGAGGGTTAAAAACTACCAACCAACAGAATACCTGCTCGCTCACCATGAAGTAGTGCTATGAAATGATTTGTAGGATTGTAACTTGTGCAATTGAACGCAACCTGCCCCATAAATTCCTTCTGACCTGGAATATCCCATTTCAGGCAATTATGAATTGCAGAGAGTTATAAAATGGACAACCTCACAACAAATCATTCAAGAAATCGGTACTAGTGATAAAGAATCTAGGGTTATATCAGGTTTTTATGGAGGTCATTGGAAGCTCCAGGGTAAACAACAGTGTTTACAAACAAGAAGGTAGACAGTACAAGAGGCCTGTTTTCATCAGCACGAGTTTGCCAAATCACCCGCTATTTTAAATATCCCGATCGCAAATTATCCAGCTAATTTGCATCCTCATCAGCCAGCAGTTGCAATTAGCGGGATATTTGGTCAAGAAAATATCAGGTGAAATCAAGTATCCCGCTTCTGGGGAAATCTAGCTGGCTAATTTGCGCCCGTTCGAGCTTGTTTGTGATGAGCATATCGGTCTGGTGAGGACGCAATTTCGAGCTTTGGGACAATATCCCAAGTCTGAAAATAGCGGGCTATTTGGTAATCTCGAGCTGATGATGACAGGCCTCTTGATAGTGTGACAGCACGTAGTAGGTCCACGGTGACAGTACGTGAGGCTACAGGTGTTTACAAAGAAAAGGGACAGGCTTGATGTAGTGTAGGATGATATAACTTCCACACTGCTATAAACATGTAGAGATGTTTGTAAACAAGGGGGTGATCACTTCATTCACTTGTAGAAAATAAAGTTTGAGATGGTTCAACTTCCTGCAAAGCTACATGTAAGTAAATGCTTTTAAAAGAGCAGGGAACAAAGAGCGGGTCTAAATTGTTTATCAAAAATGTAACTTTCTTCAATGTTTGACTTTGGCAGTGATTGAAAGTCAACTTGAAATTCACTGGGTTCCCCTCTGGAAACAATTATTCAAAGTTCCATGTAGGTGCTTCTTTAAACGATGACTCCGACTGTAGACCCTACATACACTTTCTTAAGTCTGAATAGGACCCCATCACTTACATAAATTTGTAGGAGTCAACTTTTAAAAAGTGTAAAAAATAAAAATATCAACAACAAACACAAACACAATTTGTTTTGTACCTGCAGAGCTCTTCCTTGGAGTGAGCCTGTTGGGGTCTTTTACCAGGCTGGAGGTGGGTGTGTCCCGCAGGACTTTGCCCACGGACAGGTGGTAGTTCTTGGCCTCGTCCACCAGATCCCTGCACTTGTGGCACTTCTTGATCAGCTCCTCCCGCTCCACCTCCTCCATCAGGTAGCTGGCCGGCACCATGGGAAGACGTACCTGGACAAACAAACAAAACAAGATTGTCATGAATTATTAAAGCACTTTCAATTCCTCCCCTGCATGTTGATATTTTTAAGACTAATTCTGATCAAATCAAATAATTCTTCTGTACATACTTTCTATTAAATGCAGTAGAGTACATAGCACAGAGTACATAGTACATAAATAAATTGGCATATTATTATCATAAGAAGCAGTAGCAGTAGAAGTAGTGGCCGTAGTAGTACTTAGTAGCAGTAAGTAGTAGTATTATCATCATCATTTTCATTACCACTATCATTATCATTGTCATTATCATTATTATTATCATCATTTTTCATTATCATTATCACCATTATTTTCATTATTATTATTACTATTATTATCATTATTATCATCATCATTATCATTATCAGGTAATGTATTTCCTGCATGAACTGATAATAATAAATTGTTCCAAAATAACTTTTAAAAATACCAGATATTGTGAAGGTATAACAGAAATTACAATATACAACTAAATCTGCAAACATTAGCTATTTTGTCAACATTGAGTAAATTCTGCAGATTCAGATTTCAAAACAATTTATCCAGAACATTGGTAGTGTAAAAGCAAATTACTTGAACACATCGGCTGCTGCAGAGAGCATAGAAATCACAACATCCATTTCAAACGGGAGTGAAAAAAGGAATGCTTTTTCTCTTAATTTTTCAAATCTTATTAATGTTTCTTTAATTGCATCAATATACAGTAATTGTACATTACCGGTATTCAAGTGATTTCAAACTGAACTTCAGGAAGATCATTTTCAAATATCAACTGATAAGTTGAAGGTACATTAATTGTTTGCAATTGAAGAAGAAAAACCTACATGTAAACATGTTATTTCAATTTTTTGTTTATTATACACGTGTCTTCTCTTTAAAAAGTACCATGCCTATTATTATCAATTATTGAGGGTTGATATCCTTGCCCTCTTCTAAGAAAATCATCAACTTTCATAACAACATCATACTACCGGCACCATGAAGATTTGTTCTCCCTTACATGAACCCGTGTAAACACATCAATAAATAGGAATCAATGTAAACACATCAATAAATAGGAACCTGTGTAAACACATCAATAAATAGGAACCCATGTAAACACATCAATAAATGAACCCACGTAAACACATCAATAAATACAGTCATATCCATTTGAACACTGTATTCTCATCAACAATATATGGAATATCTTTTTAAAACTAAATATGTATATTACGGTAGTCATATTATATATGTACATGTATATGCATGGTGCAGATCGTCTGATATATAGGCCCGTAGTACATGTACATATACACCTGTATGTACCACAAGAAGCTGCATTTGAATAAATCTCAATGTTCGTACACACATAAAGCAAGTTGGTATCAAATCACTATTAAAACTGAAAGGACAAAGAGTCAACAGTTTGTGTCAACATGGACAGGTAGTCCTTTTTATGTCACAAAAGAATTTGTTTGATAGCCATACACCATCCCTCCATATAACTAAGGACCGAGACTGCAACATTTAGACAAATGAACTGAAAATTTAAATTGTCAATTAAGATTGGATAAAAGCAGATCATGTCCCCACTCCATACACTGTTTTTCATTAGTGAACCCGTGGGCCTATATTAGCCTATTCATGTAGGTCCATTTACATTACATAAAAAACAATTTGAAAAACCATTGTTTTATTTTTTTTAACTCTCATTTACACTACTGAAAAAGGTCACCAGTGTTTTAAGTGCAAGCATTTACACCGGTGGAGTTTCGGCCTGCATCTAAGAATAACCCCACTCCAGAGGTGGATTTTTTTATTTTTGTTTTTTGTCTAGTTTATAGGTACCATGTAGTCACCTACTGCCTAGCAACTTTGGACAAAACACCGGAATGCAAGAAAACCAATTGTTTTTGCTTGCAGTGTAAATGCAGCTAATGTTAAACCAAGGAATCACTAAGCAATCATGCCTATTAACCATTGTGGGCTAACTACATTCCTGGTTTCCTGATAATCATAAAATCTGCTGGGGTATGAGGTTGTTGGTTTTTCTTGGAAACAGCACAGAAAATAATGACAAAAACAAATATGTTTTTTCTCATTAAAACTCAAAAGCTCCTTCTCTTTTTTTTCCAAACCCGTCCCTCTATGCTCTAGATGAAGCCCCCAACTGCATTCATCTTTAAATCTACTGATGGCCCAAGTTTTTGTAGGGACTACATGAAGTTCTTAAAGAGAAGGATATTTTGACCAATGCATCAGAACAGAGTGCAAAGGTGTAACAGTCAAAGAAGCCACAATCTGGACAACCAGGCCCAAGGAAACTCCCAGGTTCCCTCTCAATTACAACACTCTTCACCTCAACTGTTCTAGGAAATCCTTGTACTTTACAGACTCAATATTACATATTTATAAAAATGCATTTTCTTCTTTTGCCCACTTCAATGCATGAGTCAGCAAGACGCAGACCAGAGCACTTCATGTGTCATTCACATGTTTGACATGATCAGACACTGGTCACGTATCCTTCCAGAACTCTTATTTCATACCCTCAAAACAGGTGTGCTTTCTGCCCGCAAGATCCGGGAGCAGATGTTCCCGGTGCAGCCAGCCAGCCAGCCAGCCCGGTGCGGTAGCTCCACCTCATGCAGCCACCTGCCATTTTTGGCTGACCCAGAAAAGTAGGCCTGTCCTCACTACCTCAAGATTGCCAAATATCCAGCTAATTTGCGTCTTCATCAGCCTGAAGTTGCAATTAGCGGGATATTTGGTCGGGATTGTCATCCCAAGATATCTTGGGATAGTTTGCAAAATATCCAGCTATTTGTCCGGTGCATCATCACCAGACCGAAGATTCGCACTATGCGTGAACGCTGAGCAAATATCTCGAGCTAATTTCTCAAGGTCGAGTTTCAAGTTTCGAGGTCAAATCTGGAGGTCAAATCTCGAGCTGATGAGGACGCGATTTGTAACTTCAGGATTATTTCCCAAACAAATCAGAAATAGCGGGCTATTTGGCAATCTCGAGATGATGAAGACGCGCCTAGTGAGCCGAGGGGGAACAAGCCGATCGAGCGACCTTTGCTGTACACATCATGATGGAATGTCATTCATTGATCAATGCTCAAGTGCGGTCGTCTGGGGGATTAGCCTGTTTGGGTGACATTGCGTGCCAAACGTCTTCCAAGGATCTTCCCAGGATTCTAAGCTTAGCGCTGGTTCTACCCCTGGTTCAAGGAAGACCATGTCTCAGACGAATGACCTCACCAAGAGAGTGCACAGGTCTCAAAGGCATCACATCTCATCACTCGCTTCTCAGTGGAATTTAATTACAAGTATAAATGAGTTTAACGATGTATGACATATCAAGGACAAGGACTTCAAACATGCAACATTTATTTTTTCTTTAACAGCTATATTAAAACAAAATTTCCCTTTCTATGATGGAATATGGAACTTAATTACAAGTAATGAGTTTAACGATCTATGACATATCAAGGACAAGGCCTTTCTGTAAGCGCTACATACTGTACATGAACATGTACATGTACATATCATAGACACCTTTACTTCTCATAACAGGCAACATTCTATTTTCTTTTACAGCTATATTTAAAAAAATTGCCTTAATCATGGAATAGGATTTTAGAATTAAATAAAAATCAGGAAAATAAAGTGCTAATATCATGAGGAAAAAATTGCAACAATAATCATTGCGTGACAGAAAGAAAAAAAGTCAGAAATAGCAGATAACCCCTCTGTAAAATAAATTTTGGGATTGATTTCATCACACAGTCCGGTAAGTGAGATCTTTGCGCCTCATAATCAGCATTAGTGAGAGAATCTAGGTAAATGTTTTACCATCTTAAAGTTTAATACAGAACCTATAGTACATAGTATGACTGCAAAAATTCATAGTCGTCTTTTGTCATGTTGTGTTAGGAATCCATGACAAATACCATGTTTGCTCAATAAGCCATGAGATTCATCACTTGTGTAACTTTAAACCACTGGATAGTTTCATGTTTATACTGTAGTTAAGAAAGATCGGAAACAATTATTCTCATATGATTGTTGTTTTGTTCAAAATAGAGCAAGACCTGAATAATGTACATTGGAAAGCTGCCAAGCAGGAATCAACATGAAATGATCATTCCGAGACTTTTTATTCTCAAAAATTTGTATCTTTGTATGTTTTTTCTTGGATTTACAATACAAATGCCAGTCCTTGGGGACTTCATAATATCCGTAGTTGTTATTTGAAAGTTAAAACTAATCACGAGTTCTATTAGGAACGTGATGATATTTAAGGTTAATGTCGAACAACAATTTCTGCTAAATACTAGGAAATGTTTGTCTCCACTTAGCTTGAAATATATTCAATGGTAAAATAAAAACAAGGATATAGAGCCCTTCTCGTCCACAAAATATCCACTTGCCATCAATCATCATTCTTTAGTACAACACTGTTGCACTAAAGCAGTATGGATAGAAAGTTGGCAACCCATGTGATAGAACCAAACACCATATATACCTTACTTTGTAAACTTCAATGTTCTCTTAAAGCCCCACCGCACTACTTATACCTACTTGCACCCTCTATATAGCAAACAATTCCTAATCGGTGCCTCTTGGTCCCCCATGATCCCCTTTTTCTTATGTTAATTGAGAGCTGATTTCATGAGATAACCACCTGTCAGTGACCTTGCAGGGTGGTCTAATCCACCCTGGCCATACTAGTACAGACGGGCTTTAAACAATCAATGATGCAGGAAACACTACTTACCTTTGACATGAGTGCAGCAAGGTGTCTTTCTCTGTTGGGCAGGTCAAACTTCACCCACTTCATGATGGCCTGATAGACTTGACTTTCATGTTCTATCATAATGTCATGTGATGCGATCAACACCATGAGATGCTGCGCATCAATGCTAAAGTACTCCTCCTGGCTCACCACCTCCAAGAAATGTTCATGGGCATAGGAGTCCGCTGCGCCAGACAGCGTGGTGCAACCGTGCTGGTCCGCGAATGTCCTAACCCCGAGGCAGTTGGAGGGGTGGAGATGGCACTTCATGAAGTCACTGCAAGCTTTACTGACTTCATCCATCTGGAGAAGCGATCCAGCAAAGAGGATCTTCTGTACGTTGTCCACTGTCAGAACTATCTTCGAGGTGTACATGAACTCGACTATGGCCTCCAGAGACTTCTCATCAATGTCCTGGACCTCCAGGCTGTCGTGCCTGCTCTCGATCATCTCCGACATGAACATGGCACGGAAATACGGACTGCAGGCTGCCAGCACGAGGCGATGGCAGAGGAACGACGAAGCGCCGCAACGGAGCGTAAAGTCGCAGAGCGCCTTCGTCTTGTAGAGCTGCTGTATGACGACGAGCGATTCCCGCCACTGGGTCTTGCAGTCGAAGGTGAAGGATGTGACAAAGGAGTCGTACATCTGAGGTTGGGACGCCATCTTGACGATTTCATCCTCTACCAGGACACTCTTGTTGGTCGGACTGCTCGTCTTGCCGGAAAACTCTATAATGATCACCGAATTGGTTCTGTGTCATAGGAAGAGAAGGAAAGGAAATTGGAACGAATTAGGTTACTACCCGACAACAAATTGGCTCAGTTGAGTAACTTGAAACTGAAGGACAGACACAAATTATACTAATACATGTAGATAACAAGATACAAGACATTAGTCACTACATCAGAGATTACTCAACCACTTTGGCAAACAACAGGAAGAATACAGGACTAATTTGTTTCACATTCAGTGCATTGTGCAAGAAGCGCAGGTGTTTGATGATATGCGAAATGGACATAGGCGTAACATAAAAGACAAAATCTTCATCTTCCTCACTCCGGTGTAGAGTGCATTAAATAACAAGAACTGACTGCCAGGGAACACCTGGTAAACTGTATGTATGAAGAGAAAATGAAGCTTATTTCCTCTTCATCTCCATTTCTCTATTCTCACATTATATCTTTGCGAGGTGGTGTGGTTTCCAACAAGGAAGAGAAATAATCTGCATTTTATTTGACTATAATGTGGTTTGGTAACGTGCCTTATATACATGTAGTTGGCATTCACATCTAAAATAACATACATGTACATGTATATTCTTAAAAAATCTCTACTTGGTTATCTATCTCAAGCAGTGAACAGTGACACAAATAGACACTGGAGCACAGAGCAATTATGCTCTGGAAAAAGTCCAAAACAAGAGCTCTGGAAAATTTACACGAAACTCTGTTAAAAAAAATCAATTAAAATTAATATAATATAAAATACATGTACAGAAAATTCATTGGGCAAAAAATAACTGGTCCTGGTAAATAAGATCTAGGATGATCACTGACCGCCATTTCCTTGTTGTTTTCTGTGTGCCTACGCTTCTGCTGGTTGCGCCTGCATCTCTGCGGCTCCGACTCGCATCTCTCGTCCCGCCAGGACATTTGACCTTAGCGCTCATTTCAATGGTCACTACGTATACGTGCATCCTACGCCACAGCTAATTTCCAAATGAGCAGCTAGCTAGGCGTTGACTTGAAATCCTGTTTCCAACTTGACGACCTCAAATGATTTCTCATGATACCATCAGCAATCTTCAAGCATGGTATTGATATCAGCCACGGCTCTCATTAGGAGTTCATAGGAAGGTCCGTGAGGCTTGCAGCCGGGTGTAAATGCTAAACCAATTGCCAAGCCTTTTGGGCTTGAGTTTCACGCATTAGTCAGTCACTGATATGACCATTAGAAAAAAATATGACCCGATTTAATTTTTTTCTTGAAAAAGAGGGTACTCTAAAAAAAGATCGACATATATATGGTAGATGCATCCTGTAATTTCATAGGTTAAACGAGGGCAATAGGTGGGTATTTGGTCTTTGCTACAGTTCATGGTAAAATCATTTCAGGTTGATACCATTATCAGCCAAAGCATTTGTTATATGGAATGTAGGGGAAAGAGAAGAAAATTGAAGGACTCCAACGGAAGCTAAGGGGACTTTTTAAGTAGTTTGCTTCAAGAAGAATTGCATCAGAAGCTGCGATCTATTTGAATGTTGAATATCCAGGGACTTATTTTGTTGTTCTTATTTTTATGAAGGGCATCTACTATCATGGGATAACATTGTTCTTCCGACTTCCGATCATGAGAAAAGATGACCTCCTTCATAGTTCATCTGCAGATCTAATAAAAGTGTAACATGCCAATAAAAGCCTACAGTTAACAACTAAACTATTCAAACCCTTGGCTTACCAAGTTTTGTAATCTTTCAAATATGTGAAAACTATGTTTTCCCAATTCATGTTTCTTGAGAATGTGACATATTAAAGTTTACAGCGAAAAGTTTTCATCAAAGGCCCTAATTCAACCAGTCCACCTTTCATTCTTGAGTTGCGAACACCCCCCCCCCCCCCCCTAAAAAATAAAAAATAAATAAAAAATAAATAAATAAACTTTAACAATGAAATAAAAATTAAATTTACAAGGGGCATGAATAATTTAGTTGATAACAGTACTTTTGGTAGTTCAGAGACAGTTGAAGGCAAGGTAGCTGTACTTTACAGTTAGAGACCAGATACAGGCATTAAGAGCTACAGTGTTCAAGGTCTTTTTAAAACAGAGTTGAAATTGAGAAAAAGACAAGAAGGTCAGGCTTTGCATCAAGTACATTGTATGTATGTCCTCCTATTTTGTTAAAAACACAATTAATTATGTACCAGCACATTTAAGGAGAAGGTTGAGTTCTGGGAATAGGTGGAAAATAATTTGTGAGCGTTATCATTGTAATATGCAAAAAAAGCATGACTATTCATATGACTTAATATTCTAAATATGGCAACATCACACAAATCGGGACAGATTTTTATGCCACATGTTTGTGTAGTCCCATAATCTTTCTGTGTACAGTGCTTGTAACTTTACCAAGACTGGGCCAAATTTCTAATCGTTTTGATGATTCCAGAACCTTGCAGTATTCACACCAATACCTAAATGCTAGATGATCAACCTTTTCTGATCGATTCCAATCGCATGACCAGAACTCAACCTTATCTTTAAGTGTCAAATTTACGTACGGTACATCTAAATATTTGATTCAATCTACATGTATAGCACATATTTTGTTCTCTTGAATACTACTCAACAGGGTAGGGTCTGGGCTTACACTGTTACAGACTACTAAAAGTCATGAACCTCCATCCAGAGGTGTAATATCAGAAGGTGTTAATTGGCATAATCGCTGCACCATAACATCCGTCTAATGGGCTTTACTGGCCAGCGGAGCCTGTCAATCAAATCTTTGCTGGGTGGGTGTATCCATGACATATATTAATGCAGCAATATTGTAACTCCATTGAAGCATGACCAGAGAAACTAACACCTCTCTGATTTGCATATTATATTCTGTAAAAGCATAAACTTTTGTCCACATGAGATATTTGTGAATTTTTGAGTGGTTCAGATTCGCTATAGTTTCAGGATTAGAAATAATAACCAATCCCATGTACAACATTGAATTTTGGCAATTTGTTAAATTCTTGTATTGTTATTTCCAAACTGCAAATGTTTCAGTTTTACAGTATTTAACTAGTCAAACCTGTCTATAGCGACCGCCCAAGGGAAACACAAAAAGTGGTCTTTGTAGACAGGTGGTCTTTGTAGACAGGTTCCTTTACTACATGTTTCAATGAGAAACCACTTTCAAGGGAAACAAAAAATGTGGTCCTTGTAGACAGGTGGTCACTAAAGCAGGTTTGACTGTCTATAGCGACCGTCCAAGGGTGACACAAAAAGGGGCCTTTGTAGACAGGTGGTCTTTGTAGACAGGTTCCTTTAGTACATGATTCAATGAAAAAACTATTTTCAAGGGAAACAACAAATGTGGCCTTTGTAGACAGGTGGTCTTTGTAGACAGGTGGTCACTAAAGCAGGTTTGACTGTATTATACAGATGAATAATGTAGAGCTACATGTACAGTAGACTTTCACACATCACAACAGAAAATTGATCCAACTTTAATATCACACTTGCATTTGAGCATGAGAGCTAGTGTTCTGCTAATAAGATTTCTGGTGTTAACGCTGCTTCCTATTCATAAAAAAATTTATTCCTAAAGAGTTTGTACGCTAGATATGTCATTACACCTACATTGCTGTCACCACCCATAGCAGTTTGAAAAGATTTAGAAATGGGTGAAAGTCTCAAAAAAATTATTAATCTGCACACAATTGTGACATTTGCTCAAGCTTTATATGTTCAAAATATTGACTTTACCAAAGATTGAATCAAATATCAACTATCACCATACCAACATTTGCAGAATTATTCATCAGAAAATGCATAAGTTTTCATAGACTGGTAAGGAAATAAAGTCCAATATGCTCACCTTTTGACTCGGGGCATGATGAAATTCAATTAAATTTGAGGCAAAAACATGTAGTATTAGACCTGTTTGACTGCGCTGATGGAGATGTACTTAATACGCCTGTAATTTAACTTGGCCAGATATATACCGACCTGTATGAGACTTCCTTATTTACAGCTTGCATCAAAATAACCCTGGAAGACGGATCGAGTTTACAATTGTCCACAAACATCTTGTTTGTGTCACGGGATATAATGTGAAAGTAATACAGCCCCATTCATACTTCTAAGATGAACTTGGACACTAATTCTGAGCTCTACAGTTTACACTACAGTAATCAGAACGGTTCATTTTAGCTAGGGCCTGACCCGGCCTAACATACAGTGTATATAGGCCCAAGAAGAAGAAAAAAGCCAGGAGTCCCTTTGCAGTGTGGTGCTATGCACTGGCCCGGCCCTGCTACATTGAGGCCTAATGTATGTACATGTACAAGCCAACAGACTAAAAGTGCTAGTGGAAACACAGTTGATGAATTCCAATATCATCATCATACGGTACATGCTGTGTTCACACTAGACCAGTGGCACGTGGTTCACCCTGGTTTTCTGTGGAGAATTGACTGCAATGTAATGAAATTGCCAGGTTTTTATTAATATATATTCTTTTTAGTTATTATTATTTTTATTTTTTTTGGAGGGGGGGGGGGGTTGGTGGGATTGTGCATAATTTGCAAATAACATCCACTTTGGGTATCAACAGAAAAATGTTGACAGCTGGACACGCCAGCAGTCCCTGTAAGGAGAGTCCAAAATAAGCCAATCAAATTGGTTCACTGCAGCTCAGATGACATTTCTTACAGAGTCATGTAACATAAGAAATTTGTGGAGCACATAATGTTCAGTTTCTGGAAAGCATGGCATTGTACAATGTTACTGCATGTATTTATTCACACATAATTTCACATATTCCATTAGCTACAACTTAAAAATAAACTTTCAGAAATAAATGTGAACGGGGGCTAGAGAAACTTCCTCCTCATTTTCCATGCAAGACGAAACAAAATATTATCTTTATTAATGAGGTTTGATTGTAAGAGTCTGCCATCCAGCCATGCATCCCTGGATGAAATTAGTCTACGCCCCCAGACTCTAACTTGAAAGTAATTCAATACAAAAAGTGACTCATGGCTATGCCAACACCTAAAACTTACTTGACTATCTATTTATAATTTGACTTTTTTACATCCTCTTCATTATTCCAGTACAATTCTGTTGCATGTGAGATGTATACTTACATGTATATGTAGGGTGTTAAGTTTTCATTTTTTTGACTTGTTCTAATTAATGACTTCAATCAGTCAGCAGTCTCAATGTGCATTCAGCAATCATGACATAACGTTCCTCAAATTTAACACAAAGAACGAGAGGCAGACAGACAGACAGACAGAGTGAGGGTGAGAGAGAGAGAGAGAGAGAGAGGAAAAAAGACAAATACATAGAGAGACAGACAGAGAGACACACACTCAAAAAAAGAGAGACAGAGTGAGAGAGTGAGAGAGAGAGAGACAGAGACAGAGACAGACAGACAGCGAGACAGAGAGACACAGACTGACAGACAGTCACAGAGAGACAGAGAGAGACAGACAGAGACAGAGACAGACAGACAGTGAATCTTACCGCTTCATCTTTCTTCTTGGAAGACACTTACTGTAAGTGTCGAAGATCTTCAATGAGATAATCCTAATTGTCTTGGATACTCTGTAGCAGTTTCTACATGGAAGGCATCATGGTTTTATATTATTCCACATCTTGGATTCAGGAAAGTTCTACCGGTACTCAAATTACTAATCCCATCACACAGGACTAAAAATCAAAATTAAAATCATTATCCCAGGAGCCGGTCTCATGATCAGTGATCTCTACGAAACCTTCACCAGCAGATGAAAGTATCAAGAAATGAAAACCGAGAGATTGATCTTGAAATCCTGTAGCATGAATCGTTGCATCTTGAGACGAAATGCTGTTTCAAAATGTCCTTAGACTAAAAATCAAAGGATTATAGGAACCGTTAGAAGGTGTCTGTGATCAAAGAAAAACGATATCAGACCTGCACTCTACCAGGCACAACTGCTCAGTATTCTCCTTTACCGATTTTTTGAAAGACTGTTGAAACTGTAACCCTGTAAATGTGCGCTTTTGACAACAAAGGGAAGGATTTAAAATACAGGGCATAAGAGGGTAATGCTATACACGCATGTTCTGATGCCTCATTCGATTAGATGGACACATACAGGCAAAAATTGAAATTAAATGCCTTCTTGTCCTCACTGACATTGCTATGTGTACTCTTCCCTGAAATGCGCAAGGATCGTTACCATAACTGAATTAGACATCCATTAGTAAGAGAGGTGGTGCACTTCGGGAAGGCGAGGTGCGAGAGAACGGTGGGGCAGTGTGAATACGCTCGGCAACGAGAGGGTAGTGTCAATTTCTGCCAATGAAACACCTTGATTGCTCTAGCAGACATGGCTCACTTAAATAATCAAAACCAAAAATAAAGAATCCAGATGTTCCTCTTCGTCTCGCCGGAGGTTACGCTTTCGGCTTCTGTACACGGTTCACTAGAGCATGCGGCCGTCACTGCATGTTTCTCGAATGTTTAGTTCTCATTTAACGAATGAGCTGCTTTAGGTTTCAGAACATCACATTTGAATGTCCTTGCTCGCTGAATAAGAGTATGGTGAAAATGAACGCTGACAGACACAACACTGCTAGTGTTACAACATCTAGGAGATCTCATCCAACAAGATTTTCTGAATTCTTTGATACCTTGACAAAGCAAGTAGAGGATGAACATAGAAGAGAGTCCTGTTTGGTGTTGTATCTCATTCAAAGAATCCCTTGTTTCCAAAGAGTAATCCTGAACATCAATACACCCAGTATCGGATGCGCAAGTTAATCCAAACCTTCGAACACGTCTTCATCCAGAAGCCTTTCGAGATGATACCCTCAATCGAAATAAACTATCATTTCCAAATGCAACATGATCTGTCTTGCCATAATGAAAGATGACACTATAAGAAGATATGAGAAACTTTGAGTAAAGGGAGTCCACTTTAATACTGCAGTATGCCTCTATAATGCTCAGAGTGATTTAAAGATGAAATATCACAAAGAAAGTGCTACAAATGTTTTAAATCAACGATTTTAAATTCCTTTTTCAGCATGTCACATTTTATCGCACGAAGGAGCTTCAAGATTATCCACTTTGCAGGATGCCTCGCAACAAAAAAAAAGGACTTCACAACAAGAACACAGCTGGAATAGTGACTACAACTAATGCATGTCCAAGATTCTCAACTTATAATATACAGTATCCATGGTGATTGCTTTTCCACCAAATCTAGGATAAATACCACAAAGGCACCTTTCTGATATCAAAGACCTGTCCTCAGTCACCACAATTCATCAACTAACCCTCTTTGAAAGGTCTAACCAAACACGATCTTGGATGACCAACGACTTCAAGATGGTCGGTGGCTCTTTATCTCTTTAAAAGATGGTCTTTTCATCAGCGTGGTTCACAAAGAGTACTTTGTCCCTTGCCTTCAGGAGATTCATCCTTCTATGTGTAGCCTATATGAAGATTAACTAAGAGTAAACACCAATGGAATAAAATGCTACATACTGGGTACATGTAGACATCCATGTACAAATTAGAGGAAAAAATCACCAAATTTCTGCCTCCAAATAATGATGGTCAATAATCGTCAATCTATTTGTACATGTACATGTACATACATGTAGGAATAGAACAACTGTATACAAGAGATCCTCCACCAATCCAAAGCAAAGATTTGTAAAAAATGACAAAGAGACAACATCAAGGGACTCCAAAACCTATCTTTGCTCTGATTAAAAAATGGATAAATGTTCATTTTCTAATGCCTGCAAACACAAAACGTCGAGGAATTACCAACATCGCCACCAAAATGATCCAAGGACAATGCCTAGCGTCTCTGGAGAGAACCAATGACTAAAAACTTCAAACACATCGAACGAGCTTGGTGTCTTTATCGTCGTTCTGCTCATCAAGAACATTTTCTTCTCAAATCTCCTGACATGAAACAAGACGACAGCATTATGCAACATGATCTCACTGAAGACTGAAGAAAACAAACGCTGGGAGATACGAGGGGAATCCTCATGGTAGGAACATAAACAGCCTTCAGGGCCGGCAGGGTGTGCGTTAAATTTGATAAACCATCATGCCAAGGTGCGATTACTTGAAAATAATTGACCAGAGCCACTCCCTCGATCTCGAAGGCTTGATGGCAAATGAGGTGCACCATGTATGTATTTACAACTTGGTGTATACATGTAAACTGAAAGGGGAAACTGCTCTAGATGGTATGATAATTAAGATAAATCATATAAAGTTCATTGGCTCAGATGCAAACAGGAAGGAAGATAATATTCATATTAAAAATGAAAGGAAGTGGAAGTCCCAACTGATGAGTTTTGATAAGCATGGTGACCTGAAGAGTACCTGTCGTAACTCCAATAAGGAAATTTGGAACAATGCCCCCCCCCCCCCCACCCTCTTTCAGATCTTGCGGAATTTCATGTTTAAGGCTATAAAGTTTGTATGCTAACTTCACCGTACTTATACATGTACATGAGCAATGTTATCTAAACTATGAACAATGCTCATGTGAAATTCCATATCTAAACATTGTGTGGGCATGTACAACTGTATGTTCACATACATGTAGGCCTACAATGTACAAGAACTCTGCAAAGTCAACACACTGTATGAACATCTGCCATGCAAGAAATTCCAAATGTGCACTGAATTCCCTCCAAAACAAATTTCTGCAGGTCCCCTATAAAATTATCTATCCTTTTTGCAAATACATGTAGGTAAACTATTCACTAAACAGTTATAATCATTCACACAATTTGTCCAGGCCTATGCCATGTATTATTGTGTGTGAATGACCCAAAGGTTAGATCAGTGGAGATTGATTAGAGGTATTTTGAATTACAGGAAAGACAATGAATTTTTCTCCAGATAAAGAAAGTACAGGAAGGAACTGGTTTGATTCTAGGTGACATAAAGAACAGAGGAAGTTCATACAGAGAAAGGGGGGGGGGGGGGGGGGGACAGAGAGGCGGAGAGACAACGAAATATATGGTAGAGAGAAAGCAAGAGAGAATTACACGTTGGTATACAGAGAGAGAGAGAGAGAGAGAGAGATAAAGAGACAGAGAGAGAGACAGATAAACACACATAGAGAGACAGAGACAGAGAGACACACAGAGAGACTGCGGGAGAGAGAGAGAGAGAGAGAGAGAGAGAGAGAGTGACAGAGAGAGAGATAGAGAGAGAAAGAGAGATAGAGAGAGAGATAGAGAGAGAGAGAGATAGAGAGAGAGAGAGAGAGAGAGAGAGAGAGAGAGAGAAAGAGAGAGAAAGGGGGGTGGAGACAGAGATAGAAGGGGTAAAGAGAAATAAGGATGAAAGTGTCCAAGCATGGATCTACTACCGGTAAGTTCTTACATGTAGTAGGTCCATGGTCCAAGAGACCAGGTTTAAAGAAAGGAAGGAGAGAAAGAGAGACAGATAAAGAGAGACAGAGAAAGAGAGACAGAGAAAGAGAGACAGAGAAAGAGAGACAGAGAAAGAGAGACAGAGAAAGAGAGACAGAGAAAGAGAGACAGAGAAAGAGAGACAGAGAAAGAGAACACATTTTTTCAATCACATGATCATGGAGAAAAACATTTTGGTGTAAGCTATCACTTGTACACATGTACACTATGCACATTAGCAAAGTCTCAAAATAACTCACCAAGACCATTAACTGTACATGTCCTTATAGTCATAAAAAAGAGATGTACATGTACTGTATAGGCCCTACCTTTTTTCTTCTTCCACTCCAGAAAAGAATAGTTACATGGACAGTATCAGCACCAGCATCTCCAAGACTCAAGATTACTCATAAAAAAATACATAATATAGGTTAAGAGGGTAATCAAATACAGGGAAGGGCGTAGGTTTAAAGGTTTTTGTGGTGGAATATAATCCTGTTACCCGGTAATTATTCAAACAGGACAATCTGGGCCCAAACTTGTCTTCCTGTTCTCCCATGACTATTTCTTAAGTACAGAGATAAGATAACAGCAGGTCTTCCTCTCCAAATGATAAGGATGCACTGCAAAACACATTTTGTACTCGAACCTACATTTATAGTGGTCATTTTAGCTGCATTTACACTGCAACCAATATAATATTGGTATATTTGAGTGTTTCTTTCAGCGATTGTCTGCACCTATCATTTACATATGATATACATTGATGTCCCATTGCAAGTGTTGTATTACAGTATTACATGTAGCATCCACATTGTGCATTGGATTTGGACTCGTGTTCGAAAATGCATTTCACAGCCATTTTAGGGTGACCCCCACCCTAAAATAAAGTCACTTTTGGTAAAAATAGATGAATTGGAGGGATGAATGTAGAGGGAAAATCTCCATGGAATTTTGATACCGGTAGGTAATAAGAAAGGAACTACAGTATGAGTCAAAATAAACTAACCCCCCTAACGCGTGTAACGTTTGCAATACGTTAATTATATATTTAACGTTTGTAGGCGTTACCCGTTAGACGTTAGCGTTACCCGTTAGTTTTGTTAGTTTTGTTAGTTTTGTTAGTTTTGTTAGATGATGTTCTAAAATTGACCGAACGAAGGAACGATATATGCGCTTCAAGAAAATGATGCCTAAAATATCTGAAACATCGTAATTATCATCTCAAAATACGAGCACGAGTATGTTCAAAATTAAATACGATGAAACAATGCCAAACTAATTTGAAACATCCTTATTATCGTCTCAAAATTAGGGAATGAAGTTACGATATGTGCTTCGAGATAATGATGCCTACAATATCTGAAACATCGTAATTATCTTCTAAAATTGACCGAAAGGAGGAACGATATATGCGCTTCAATAAAACGATGCCTAAAATATCTGAAACATCGTACTTATCATCTCAAAATACGAGCACGAGTATATTCAAAATTATTTACGATAAAACAATGCCAAACTAATCTGAAACATCCTAATTATCTTCTCAAAATTAGCGAACGAAGTTACGATATGTGCTTCGAGAAAATGATGCCTAAAATATCTGTAACATCGTAATTATCTTCTAAAATTGACTGAACGAAGGAACAATATGCACTTCAAGAAAATGATGCCTAAAATATCTGAAACATCGTAATTATCATCTGAAGATACGAGTATATTCAAAAGTATTTACGATAAAACAAAGCCAAACTAATCTGAACATCCTAATAATCTTCTCAAAATTTAGTAGCGAACGAATTAACGATATGCGCTTCGAGAAATTGATGCCTAAAATGTCTGAAACCATGCCCCAAACGTCGAGTCTACCCTTTATCCTATTAAGTCCCTGCTTACTCGGGCTTCAGGACATCACTTTCACAGGTCATTCCTTTACCTCTCCTCCAAGTAAATCTAATTATCTCTAATCCTCTTAACTAGCGAGGGACAATTATCTATTACGTAATCACCTTGACTACAATACCTTTAATCACGAGTGTGCCAGATTAACTGCGTTTGTCTCAGTGTGTGTGTGTACTAGAACTTGTACTATAAATTGAAAAGGATATAGATCGCGGGAGAGAGAGAAGCGGAAACAATAGAATATCGCTGATGTTACAGGCTTTTATAACAAAAAGTAAGCCGACAGACCGAAAGAAATGAATGAAGAAAATGAAAACCAATATCACTGGCACTTGAAAAAATGAAAGAGACATTAAATCGCGGGAGAGAAAGAAGCGAAAACAATCAAATATTGATGATGTTACAGGCTTTCATGGCAAAAAGTAAGCCTACGCAACGACAGAAATGATTGAAGAAAATGAATGCCAATATCATCGGCGCTTGAGAAAATAAAACAATTAATGAGTTGCGGGAGAGAGACAGAAGCGAATTCAATTAAATATCGCTGATGTTATAGGCTTTTATGACAAGTTAGTAAACGGAACGAAACAAATTATTGAAGCAAATGAATGCCAATATCACCCCGGCGCTTGACAAAGTAAAAGAGAGATAGATCGCAGGGGAGGGAGAAGCTAAATCAATTATACATCGCTGATGTTACAGGCTTTCGACGGAACGACCAAAATGATTGAAGAAAATGAATGCCAATATCACCAGGCGCTTGACAAAATAGATCGCAGAGAAGAGAGAAGCGAAATCAATTATATATCACTGATGTTACAGGCTTTTACGACAAAAAGTAAGTCGACGGAACGAAAAAAAAATGATTGAAGAAAATGAATACCAATATCACGGTTATCACCAGGCGCTTGAGAAAATAAAAGAGAGATACATGTAGATCGAAGGGGAGAGAAGCGAATCAATTATATATCGCCGATGTTACAGGCTTTCATGGCAAAGAGTAAGTCGACGGAACGAAAGAAATGTATGAAGAAAATGAATGCCAATATCATCGGCGCTTGAGAAGGAAAAAAAAAGAAGATATAGATCGCGGGAGAGAAATAAGCGAAAACAAATAAATATCGCTGATCTTACAGGCTTGCATGACAAAGAGTAAGCCTACGGAATGAAAGAAATGAATGAAGAAAATGAATTCCAATATCACCAGGCGCTTGGCAAAATAAAAGAGAGATAGATCGCAGGGAAGAGAGAAGTGAATTCAATTATACTAAATATCGCTGATGTTACTGGCTTTTATGACAAAAAGTAAGTCGACGGAACGAAAGAAATGAATGAAAAAAATAATTCCAATATCACCAGGACATTGACAAAATACAAGAGAGATAGCTCGAAGGGGAGGGAGAAGCTAAATCAATTATACATCGCTGATGTTACAGGCTTTTACGACAAAAAGTAAGTCGACGGAACGAAAACAATGATTGAAGAAAATGAATGCCAATATCACCAGGCGCTTGACAAAATAGATCGCAGAGAAGAGAGAAGCGAAATCAATTATATATCACTGATGTTACAGGCTTTTACGACAAAAAGTAAGTCGACGGAAAATAAAAAAATTGATTGAAGAAAATGAATACCAATATCACGGTTATCACCAGGCGCTTGAGAAAATAAAAGAGAGATAGATCGAAGGGGAGAGAAGCGAATCAATTATATATCGCCGATGTATACAGGCTTTTATGGCAAAGAGTAAGCCTACGCAGTGACAAAAATGATTGAAAAAAATGAATACCAATATCACAGAACTACACGTGCACTACACTGTGAAGATCACTCCCTGGCCCTTGGCTCATGAATATAACTGTCAGATCCTGAATAGGGGCTATGATAGGATTAAGGCGATTAGCAGGTAATCCCTTATAAGGGATTACGAACAACCCTGTAAATGTGATGTCCCTACTTTTTAAGGGGATGTTTGAGTCATGCATCGTAATTATCATCTAAAAAAACAAGCACGCATAAAATTATATTCAAAGTGATTTACGATAGAACAATGCCATATCAATCTGAATTTCTGAAACATTGTAATTATCTTCTAAAATTTACCGAAGTCTGGATATGCGCTTCAAGAAAATGATGCCTATAGTATCTGAAATACTTATCAACTCAAAATACGAGCATGGAATTTAAAAAAAAAAATCGACAAAATAATGTCAAACTTATCTTAAATTAAGCTGATATGATAACTTATGCAGACGGACGATAACTGACTTCAAATCCAGGTACTATTCCATCAATAAGGTCAAAATAATGAAGCAATTATGTCATCATGAGCGCGAGATTTTGCAAACGTAAGACACGTGAAAAAGCATTGTAGTCATCCCGATTTATCATTGAACGGTTGCTCGCCCTAAATCAAAGCCATTTTATTCGATGCCAATTATGCCCATTGTTAGCTCAAAATTGTTGAGTTTTTACAGGGCTACGGTCTCGCAAGGTGAACATCAGAAGCAAAATCTCATTTTCTGCCAATTTCATAGCAGGACAAAGAGGAAGAAAAACGCGATGAATAGTATAAAAGATAGGGATCCAATTTATCCGGATAGCTACTGCTTTATAAATTTGTTCCCCCTGCTTTTGATTAACCTGCCACACATTTATAATCCCATATAGGAGAACAATGCAATGCATGTATCTGAGCAGCGTCTCTACTGCTACCATCGCATGTCAATCATGAACAGTGGCCTAGCTCTTTTGTTCCATTTTGCAGTACATAATAATTAGTAGCCCCCTGCTGCCAATGACGAGAAACACCTCTATTTTCTCCATGCCTTTAAATATTTAATTTGTAGTGTGTCTTTTTTTATCTTTTGCATCCAGGACATGGCACAGAAAACATGCCTTCAGGAACGGTTGCATGAATTTATTTTTACAGAAATATGCATGTTGTTGATTTATGTTCATTATTTTGTTATTGGTTGCTATTTTTGGTACTAACAACGTCGTTTATAATACTAATTTAACAGTTTTCAAACATTCAACGTTTTATTTTGACATCGTTTTTTTTCTTCTTGCCCTGCATTAGAGTAATATGTTGAACATCACTTATGTTTCACTATGACTTGTTTTCTTTGAAACTCTTTACTATCTAGTCTTTCCGACTTTATTTTAAAATCTTTTGTTGTTTTTCATTATTGACTTTCTTAAGAAATAACTAATTTGTATTACTCGCTTTCTACATTTTCATTCTTATAAAATCATGTTTCGTTCCCCATTAACATATCTTAAAGCAGTAGTTCAGTTTTGGGGTGTATGGGGAAGGATTTGGACTATTCTCAGGACTTGGTGTCTAGTTTTTCTTTGCAACTCGTTACTAATTTAGTCTTTCCAACATTATTTTAATATTTAAGATATTTTGTTTTTCACTATTGATTTCCTAAAAAAATGACTACTTTGTATTACAACCCCCCCCCCCCCACCCCTTACAGTAAATGCACCTGACCTCATCGAGTCCTCAGAAGAGACGTATTTTTGGTTCTTGGAATTCAATTTAATTCCTTCCGATTCTTCAATTTGTCATTTGGTAATAACGCGATCTGACAATTGACATACTTGAATTACTTGATTGATAAAATTGTTTAGTAGGATGACCAAGTACTTACTTTATGCACTTGCCAACATCAGGCACATCATTTTGTGTATAAAGTGCCTCATCACTTTCTACCAACCTGTATCGTAGATTGATCCGTGAGACTAGGTAGTAAATGTTGGAAAGAGGAAGACATGATATATGAAATAATAAAGGGAAAAAGATGGCCACGAGGAGAATGCCTTTTTATCTTCTAATTAGATCATTACGTGGCTGGAGAACCATCTCTGTGCAATACAATCTGAATTACCGGGAGCTTCGAACGTGCTCTTGATATTGCATAGCAGTGAGCCAGTTTTGTTTGTTTATTTATTTAAATACGGTGATTAAAAAAAACATGCTTTCAGCTTAGCATAGCTATTTTTAGCATGGAAGTCCCTACATGGTATATTAAAGTACATAAAAGTTACCAAGAAGTAGGTCCTAGCAGTCTTCAAGTTCCAAGTCCCTGGTCCTAGGGTGGAAACCTAAATCAATGGAAACTTCCTCCCTGCCTGTGTACTCTTACATTGCGTAAAATGCACTTTCTCTGTCATCAAGCATGGTTTGTAGTACGTCCATGCATCAAGTCTCTCAGCAAGAAATTGAGATTAGAATCCAGTCGTTGACTGATATACTTATGTCAGCAAGATAAGAGATAAATTTGTTTCTCTGGGGACTTGGTGGTTGAAGGCTGGTGGAATGTGACAGCTATAGGGCCACGCGAGCGCGAGCACATACTAGTAAATCAAGTTTAGGGGTGAATATAGTAGCGATCTTTTGTTTTTCTTCCAGTCTCTCTCTACTCCGCCCCCTTTATCTCTCAACTATCTTCCCTCCTTCTTTCACTCTCCCTCCCCATCTCTCTCTCTCTCTTCTTTCTCTCTATATACCCCGTCTCCCCTCATCTCTTCCTCTCCCTCTCTCTCCCGTCCTTTCAACTTTTCTCATATTCATTCCTTTCCTTAAAATCTCACAGCATGCGCGTCATTTTCTCTGACACAACAGCCATATTTGTCCATATTAATACAAGTTCATAACCCAAACAACTTTGAAATCATCTTTTTATGAAGTTATGCGATAAAGGTTATAATTGAAGAGGTGAAAATTGGGCTCTTCTTAAAACTACAAAAGGCGGCACTCATCAGGAATGAAAAAGCACTTACGATAATGGGAAATGGGCATTAGTTGAAAGAAAAGGGGCACCAATCATATTTTGATAGGGGCATTTTCCGGAGGTGAAGGGGGCCCTTATCTGAAGTAAAAATGATTAACTTCTCGTACCTGAAAAGGGGCATTTACGAGAAGGGAAGTGCTTTTTTTATAAATTGAGGTAGCTATTATTATAAGGGGCATTTATGAAATTATAAGGTGCGCTTGTCCGAGTTAAAAGGGGGTAGTTATTAAAAGGGGAAGGGTCACTTCTACAACAAAGGAAAGAGGGCACTTGTCAAAATAAAAGGGGCACTTTGTGGGTACTTGAAAAACGGGGGGGGGGGGGGGCACTGTACCGCTAGCTAAACGTAACACAAAAACAGTTTGCCATTCATTCTATTCATTCTCAGCTTGCTACTCTTTCTCTTTTTTTAATGGAGGTATAGTTATCAATAGAAAAAGGAGCATTTGTGAAAATACCAGGAGCGCTTATCCGAGTTAAAAAGGGGTAGTTATTAAAGGGGAAGGGGCACTTTTCTATGGAAAAGGGGCCCTTTTGAGGTACTTGCAAATGTGGGGGGGGGGGGGGGCACTGTACCGCTAGCTAAAAGTAACACAAATACAGTTGGCCATTCACTTATTCTATTCATTTCCGGCCTGCTACTGCTCCCTATAGCCAGTGGCTTAGATCCTTACGTAATACCTATTGTTCAAGGGGGATCCCCTTGAACATAGGATCCCCCTGAACAATAGACATTAGGCCTTGTAGCTAGGACAACGCCCTTTGCCCCCGCCGAGTGTCAATAGCAGGCCACATTCAGAGTAAGCTTTTTTTGTATGTGACAGGAAGTTTGCTATTAAGCCTTGACCGTAGCTCTCCATACAAGCATTACTATGTTGGAATATATTCCGACGGCTATTGATACGAATATACATACAGGAACATAATTTGAAATTGTATATGCGTACAACTGCTTGTCTTTACATTTTCATTTCATAGGGAAAATAGAGGGGACTGATGAAATGATACATTTAGATAGAAAGGGAGAGAGGATATACAGTACGAGAGATGATGAAAATAGAGGAAAGCAGTGTCGCCGGGATGCGTTATTTTTTTATGCGGCACAGATTGGGGCTTTTTTTTAAAAAGGGGTCTTGATTTACAGACTAATACTGGTCGTGTGCGTACTAAACAGTAAAGGTAGTAGAGGTCTGTTTTTAATACTGTTACATTTAATCCACTACCGCATGGAAAATCATTACATCAACAATTAAAATCAAATTGGAAAACTGAAGAGGAGGCAGCACGTCAATAAGGAGAACATCACAATAATGAGTCAATAAAACTAACTTAAAACGAAGAGGAGTGTTATCTAAACACATAGTTCGCGATGGATATACAAACGACTAGTCTCACCTAAGTGCAGACACTATTCAGAAGGGAAAGAACGTACTTCCCATAGGTTTAACACGCGCCATGCCCCAATCTGTGCCGCATAAAAAAAATAACGCCGCCGGGATAGGGGGGGGGGGAAGCAAAAAAAGAAAATAGGCAACATTTGTGGTTACCTCTTTATTTTTAATTTTTTTTTTTTTTGGCAGGGCTCGGGGCCAATTAGATACATATATATATACGTCTAGCTAGGTTTACGAAAGGTCCTTGGTTTACGGTCAGCTGGGATGACGATCGTAGTCTGTAAATTTACAGCAGAAAAATCGGTGTTGTGACAAAATTAATATAGAAATTAAAATTGGAATTTACATTGCATGTACCTTAAAGTGAAGATAGCGATGTAAGTTTGTATACCTAGTGTTTTTTTATTTTTACTTTTCCCTTTTGTTGATTTATTTTTATTCAATACATCATTGTAATTATTTTTTCCCATTTCCTATAAATTACCTTCTATCTTTACGTCTCCCGATTTCTTTTTTTCTTGAAATCGATTTTTTTTCCCCCTCTCTTTTCCATCACCTACTTCATCTGCACCCACTAATTTTGTTATTCCATCTCTTATAAATGATGATTTAAAAAAAAAAATGTTTTATTAAAAAATTCTCAATAATTTATAAATAATAAAACCTAACTTTTATAATATCTATTTTTCGGAATTTCATTGAAATTGGGGTGGGTGTGCATCTAAAACAAAAGAGAGAAGGTCATAGATCATTAGAGAGTGGGAGGGAGAAAAACTGAGTGAGAGAGGAATTGGAGAGAAAAAGGATGCAAGAAATGATGGATGTTGAAAGATGAGGTGTTGAAATTATAATTTTATCTTTTTGTAAATATATATGAGAAGTTAAAATATTTCTTAAATCCTTTTTAAATGGTCCGTATGTTCCAATACACATGGCATAGCTCTTTAACAACGACATTAAATAATCACAGATTTATTATGACATTTCCCCCCCCCCCCCCCAAGTATGTCCCGAGTGGCGCTCTCAGAACAAAGGCGCGTAACAAAGTTAAATACATGAATATACGCGATGTTTTGGAACTTTGGTGTTGATTGACATGACGCCTCATTTTAGATAGACAATCAGCCTATACAGTGCGTCCCAGAAAACACGAAACCGAGAATTGCCAATGTTTTATCATAACTTAATCACAATTAACATTAATAAATGAAACATATTTGTAGATCAGTGTAGGTCCACGATTAGAGAGAAAGAGATAACAAAACAAAAATTGGGGGGGGGGACAAACATCCATAGAGAGAGAGAGGAAGATAAGAAAGGAGACATTGGTGATTCGAGATAGATTATCAAGAGAGAGAGAGATTAAAGGTGTAGTACCCAAATTACTGCCCACCTACCTGACCCATGCCCTGACCAGGGCAAGGAAGTGGTTGAATTGTTATGTTCCTTCTAATGATGTCGCTTGAATCCACATTGTCTTTGAAGAAATGATTCACCTACCTGAATAAATGTATACTGCGTCACTTCATCATCAGCCCATCAGCCCATCACATCATCATCACCATCATCATGTTAGTATCAACATCATCATTATTTTTAAATGCGCAAATCTGATTTGTTGAATGAAACGCTTACAAAAAAGATATTAAAATAAAGCGTCTTTACTTACAATCGATTGCAACTATTTGTGCTACTTGGCCCAGCTCTATTATCATCACCATCGCTTTTCTTTATCATCATCGCGGCGAATATGCCAACTGTCACATATTCATGAGCTAGAAAAAATATTTATCTCCGTAACATACAACTGCTTTTCAGGACTAATAGTTTGTATTGGATATTGCTACATTGATAGCAAACTATTCATAATTGCATGCATATCATTATATTGGTATTGTATATGGGATATAATGTACAAACTGTACATCCAAATGAAGACTAAAGGATGACGAGGATGGTGTGCGATTCTGGTGAGGAACCAAAGGAGAAGAGGGCATAGACTGTAAAATTTATACAGAACTTGGTGGAAACAGGTAGGTAATTGATATTGTTCTCGAAGTATTCATCATAAAAATACATTCACTACTAATCGTAGTCGTAAATATTGGCTTGATTGAGGCAGTGAGGGATCTTAGCCTTGGTTATCACACCCCTAGGAATCACGGGCGGTTCGTGGCTTGACGTTTCTTGGTTGGAGTGGCAGGTAGTGTCTTGGTGCAGGGGGAGGATAATGATTAATTGTCTGCAAGAGGTAACTTGTGGAAACACTTACGTATGATTGGGCGGGCGGGGGGATTTGGGTAGCAGTAGTGTCTCAGGATAATGATCAATTATATGCTACCGGTAGCTTGTGAAAAAAACTTACTTACTTTATTGATTGCAAGACAATAAAGCCATAAACACCCTCGTATATATATATATATATATACATATTTTACAGATAAGAGAAATTAAAAACGAAAAACAAACATGTGGGTTATAAAGGGCCATAGATCATTGTGGAAGTAGACTACCGGTACTAGTATTCCTCACTTCATACCTAATTTATGCATAGTTTTATTAGTTAAAAACAAAACGGGATTTTAAATCAGAACAAAGCATGCATAAAAAAGTAGTAGAGCCTACAAACACCAGTCATTTTTCAGAAAATCCGTTGTGAAAAACAAGGAAAGAACTCGAAATAGCATTAATTATTTTTGAGACTGAATATCATCATAATAATCAAGTGACAAAGAAACAAGATAAAATGAACACCAGCAAGCTAAACTGAAAACACGAGCAATGCTCGAAATGCGTCTGAAAAGCATGCAGGGCAACAAAATAAAAACATGTCAAACTATAACTGCAACAACAATTATAACAACACCAACAACAGCGAGGCCGTAGCGCTGACGGTCTACACCGCCATAGATCTCCCGTTCCGCCCACGTCAATTTGCCTATTACGCTCGGCTAGCTCCTCCCCTTCTCTAAAGCAGTCGCTATGCGGAAGTAGCGTTCCGCTAGCTACTGTGCGACGTGCTGGTAAAAAAAAGTGTGACATAAAAAGACAGATATTGGAGGCATTTCCGCTGAAAAATTAACCAGGTTTTGAGGGATATATCTCGGGAATGAAGCAATTGTAAGTCATGAAAATTGACATATATCATTTGGATGGACATTTCTGAATTTTTGTGTTTAAAAATAGTGAATTCACAGGAAAATCGCTAAGTTAAAAAGATCGTTCTTCGTGATTGTATTCGACC